CCTTCATGTAGGGGTCCTCCTGGAGGCAATTCACGTTGAGCGGCTGGCTGGCTGCCAGCAGGGCAGGGTCCACCAATGGTGTCGGCTTCTCCCCAATTCCTCCTTGATGTACGATGCGCCTCCTTCTTGTTGAGGCGAGTCTAGAATCGGGATGTGAATCACAGGCTCTGGTGTCTGCGACGAGAGAATTGGACGAAACCACTTGGACGTAGAAGCGATCGGCGCGCCCATGCCCGTCGCCGAGACCGGCATGTCCGTGCCTAGAATCTGCTGTGAAAAAAAGCGTGGGAGGAGTCCTTTGCGCGGCGGGCACCGAGGTAGGTGATGCGCAGGCTGGTGGCGTAGCGGGCGGCGTGACTGGCGCTGCCCCTGCTGGTGCCTGCCGCTGCTGCTCTGCTGGTTGGTCTGGCTTGATCTGCTGCTTCTGCATCTGCTGGTGCTGCTGCTGCTGCTGCTGCTGCTGCTGAATGGCCTGCATCTGCTGAAGGTAGGCCATCTGCACCTGCTCGCTTGTGTACCCCGTCGAGCTCGCAGAAGGCCAGCACGGTGTCGGTGTGGGCCCTCTCGGGCCCGGTATAGGAAACCCCACAGCATGGTGTCCCATCGCCATGGCCTGCTGTTGCTGTACCTGTTGCGCACCATCGGAAAATCTTAGGAACGCACGCGTGCCGGGGAGAAGGGAAACACTGCGGCGTCGAAGGACGCTGCGCCCTCACCCCTGGCAGCTATAGAACAGAGGCTACGCAATAATTAACGCTGGGGAGAATTTGCCTACATTGGTTTTGAGAAGCTGGCGAGCACGATTTAATATCGTCGAGGAGGAGCTCGTTAAGCAACGGACCGATACTGCGCGCCAAACATGCGAGTTCCGTTTGCCAGTCTTTCCAGCCCGCTTCGAAGTTGAAGGGTATAGTTCTGATGTATCCCAGGTCGTCGGAGCTATCGAGGAGCACGTTCCAGGATTCCTCTAGCTCGACGAATGCGAACGCCTCGTCTCGCGGGGACAGCGATCGAAATGAGCAGAGCCCCTGCGGAAGTTCAGAAGGCTGAAGGATGAAGCCGAGAAAGCTGGCTCCGGCAACCTCGTTGAACAATGGGATAACGATGCATAGTCCCAGAATTGCGTTCCGAGGATACGTGTTCGACGACCTACAAAGGCAAGTCTGATCGCCCTAGGGACAGACAGTGGTTCGAGTGGGCGGATGCACGCGACGCTCGGGCAGTTGACCGCGATGCCCCCCCGACCTCACAGGTGCCAACTTGTGGTGTAATGGGCATATCTGCGAGTCTCTGCAGACGCGCATCTGGCATGGGCACGTTGCGAAGGTCGCGAAGGGCATAGGCATGCACGCGACTACCTTTCTTCGTCTGGATGCAAAGTGGGAAAAGGGAGGGGCGATGATCCGCATGCATCCGGCAGAGAAGGCTACCGCGCCACCGGAGCGACAGCAGAGCGAGCCCGCGGTTCCGCCGCTTGCCAGGCAACGAACAGCGCCCCAAAAGGCTTTCTATCAGGGGGATAACCCCGTTGCCAAGGGTGCACCGCCCTCTGCTGGACAAGCTAGGGGCGGAGCCGCATCGGCGAGCCCGCGTGCCCCTGCTGCATCGGCGAAGGCCAGCGCCGCGCCCAAGGCCGATGCCGCTGCTTCGGCGATGGCCGATGCTCCGAAGGCCGCGGGCTATACGCCGTGGACTGAATGGACTCCTTGGCACCCCCCATGCGAGACGGCCTCAGCGCGACCATCCGCAACCCCACGCAGCCCCGTCGGACAAATGCCCCCGCACGAGAGATTACGCCGACGATGGCTCAGCACGGGGGATGCGATTCGCGGGCCCGGAGTTCTCGGCGGCGCCCTCGGCCTGAGGGCCGCTCTAAACACCTTGGAGCGCAATCCCAGGAACAGGCTGCGACCTCAAGTTCGGGACATCCTACAGCTGCGCCCCAACCCACGCGGCAGGCGCGCGCGTCTGCTGGCCGCCCGCGGGAGAAGCGGCCATCTCCATACAGGGAAGATCGGACCGGTCATCGCGATTGGCATGACACGAGCGAACGCGAGTGGCACGGAAAGAGGTAGTTGCGTCGGCGAGAGTCGATGCTTCCCATATGCCCCCTCGCCCCTCTCGCGCCCCCCGCTTCTTTCGCTTTCGCGCGGCCGTGGAGCCATGGCTTGAAGGCCGTCGTCCTCGCGCCCCCCCTGGGCCGGGACCTCCGCGCTCACGAGATTTCCGCCACTTCCTACGACCGAGAAATTATGCTTTTGCTTTCATTGGTTTGAGGGTCGAGCGCGGCCGACCCACTGCCGAAGGGGGCGGGGCGTCTCCTGGTGTCTCCCCCACTCTATAGACATCTGCGCCACTTCTGTTTCGGGCCCCGGTCTGTCCCCCGTTCCTTGGGCGGCGGGGCCCCGGGGCAAACTCGAACCTAAGAGCCCTTTGTTCGGGGTCCTGAGGCGAGAAGCGCGGCTCACATATCGCCTGTGGCGCCAGCTTTATTTGGAGGGATAACCCCGCCTGGCTTCGGGGGCCCCAGGGCCCCATTTCGGGCCCCCCCCCCGTCACTTCTCTTGCCTCCCCCCCTCCTGACTCCCGAGGATCGAGGCGAGGGTCGGTCGATCGATTCGATCGCTTCCGCTGCGAAGCACTTCGTTGCTCGCAGCGGCAGATAGATGAAGGGCGCGCGCACGTCGTCGCCGCCCCTTTTTTTCTTCCACCCTGTCGCTTGCTACTGCTAACGGATATGTATATATATATATATATATATATATATATATATATATACACAAAAACACACACACACACACACACACACACACACACCCTCCAACAAAAAAAAACGAAAAAAAACAACAAAATAAAAAAACATAAAAATATAATAAAAAAAAAAAAAAAAAAAAAAAAAAAAAAAAAAAAAAAAAAAAAAAAAAAAAAAAAAAAAAAAAAAAAAAAAAAAAAAAAAAAGTAATTGAGAAAATAACCAAAAAAAACTAATAATAATAATAATAGTACTAATAATAATAATAATAATAATAATAGTAATATAACATGCGCGCGCGTGCAATTTCCAAGAGGAGCTCGCCCGCCTTCGACGGCGGGCCTGGGCCCAATGCAATGTCAGAGGCGTCTGGTTCGGAGGCCGTCACACCCCCCCAGCACCGGGCGGAGGCAGAGGACGAGGGCGAGGACCGCGAGGAGGAGAAGGGAGGAAAACGAAAAGACAAGAAGGTAAATCCCCATCCGCTGATCCATCCCTCGTTCCCTTTTTCGCTTCCTCCCGTTTTTTTATCCTGCCTCCCTGTTCCCCGATGTGCCACACCCCCCTTCCCTCTCATTCCCCTCCTTCCCTCTCCCCTTTTTCCCGCGACCGCGACGGCGCCGACGACAACGGCGACGCCGACGACGTCGTCGACCCCGACGACCCTGTTCCCACGCTCGTGGTCTCCAGGATTGCCAGTTTGTCATGGGACTGGATGAGGATGAGGATGAGGCGTTCGGAATTGACTAGAACCTAAGCGCGCGAACATAGTTATACATATACATCCATAGTTATACGCATACAGATACATCCATAGTTATACATCAACACACGAATTTGCTTACATGTCTTTAGTGGTACGCATATGTATACACATGCACATACGTATCTACATGTACATGTGGATCCAAGCACATAGATGTAAGCTGTAGCACCATCTGAGAGAACATTCGAAACAGACTGGCAGCGTAGAGTGGCCCTTTAAAGATGGTTCCCCGGGTCCTCTTGGACAAGCTTGGCGCATGGAGTTTGCATGAACAGGCACGTATGCACATGCGAATCCATGATTTTGATCGGCTTGGGGCGCGTCGAAGAACATCGGTGTAGTTGCTCTGTTACCGTATAGTGGTAGTGGGATGTATTGGCGCTTGGTGGATCCCACAGCCGACGAGCACTCAGAAACACAGTTGAACGGAACTAATTGTCCATCGTACGAACGAGGTTTTAGATTTCTGGCAGGCCCAGAATGTTGAACCCAGCGCAAGTTCTGAATGGAGCCGTCTTCAACAAGCGGCACAGTGTTTCCGATCGTTTCGAGAATTTGGGGGCGACAAGCGAAAATGATGTTATGGTTCCACCTTGGATGTTCCAGGGCTCCATGTTAGCGACACCAGCTGATATTATCCAACGTGGCGACAGTAGTGATGATGAGAGGTGAGGTGAGGCTCATGGCTGGTAGCAAGCCCTTTCGCGGACTCCGAAAACGTGATTTACTTTTACTCTCAGGCCCCCTTCCTACTGCACTTCGGGGCCAGATGGTGTCGCATGTCGGGGCCATCATGGGACTGGGGCTGGTTCTCGCCTGTTTGGATCGCCTTCCAGCGGCATAGTATGAAGGTGTTTTCGAAGCATCTTGAGCATCTTGCAGCCACCCCACCCTTGTGCAGGGAGGAGGGGAGTCGAAGTTCCCCCGCCCTCCCCCCCCTCGGTTTACGAACGTCCAGGATGTTTGAGGGGGGGTGGCGGGAGGTCGGTTCGAAGCGATTCCCCCACCCTCAAGCACAGGGCCCTGCGTGCACATGGGTGCCTGCGTGCCCCGCCATCAAGCGACCACGGCACGCGCTGCTTCCAAGAACTGGGCGGCCACCAGAGCATTCCCCCGATGCCGCCCTGTTCGGCGTAGCCCCTGGGAACATGCCCCGCTGCGCGGCACTCTGCCACGGGGCCTCTGGCCACCCAGAAGACGTGGGTCGCGACGGTGCCGCACGACGTTCGCGGGCGGCCGCTCGCCGCTAGCGGAGCCCCTCTCTTGTCCTTCTTTCCCCCCGCCTCTTCGCATGCGGACCAGGTCGTTCCACGCGGGGCGGTCGGAACCAGTGGTCGCGCACGCGTCTCGCTTCGCGCCGCTGGCGACGGAAGAAGTGGCAGTTGAGCTCGAGGTCCGGTTTGAGCCACCCTGGCTCGAGCACCCCAGAGCCTCTCGCCGAGGGTAGGGCCGCGGCTGCGCCAGGCACACCAGCAGCCAGCAATGGGCGCACTGTGCTCTGGCGAACCAGCGCCAAAGAAGATCACTGTGTACTATTGGGGCCCCCACCCAGGCACGCCATTCTACGGCCGCGGCATCGGCATCTACCTGACGCTCAACCAGGCCAAGTTCAAGTACGACACCGCGACGCCGGGAGACATTCCCGACGGCAGTGCCATGGCGCCCCCAGTGGTCGACATCGACGGAGCCTGCATGGGTCAGACCCCCGCCATTCTCGTTGCGCTCGGTGAGAAGTTCCAGCTGGGTGGCAAGACCCCCGAGGAGAAGATGCGATGCCTGCAGGCGCTTGAAGACATGAACGACGTCTTCGGAGAGCACGGCAAGATGGCCGAGGACGCCGACCGCAAGAAGAAGTGGTTCACGTACCTTGACAAGAAGATGCAGGGCCGTAAGTGGCTGGCGGGGACGAGTGAACCAACAGTCGCTGACTTTCACGGGGTCTTCGCGTTCGAGTGGGTCCAAAAGAAGAACATCGATTTTTCAGAATACCCGAACATGACCAAGTGGTGGGCGGACATTCGGGCGTATCCGGTGGTTGCAGAGATGTACAAGACGTGTGTGGATGGGAGGAAGATGATCCCCTGATCGCCCAGCCGGATTACAAAGTTGCTCCGAGGCATACTGGTCGATTGAGGAAGTCCTCGCAGCAGCAATGGGGAGAGCAGTAGAATGCTTCTTGTTCTCCGTACAGGTTGACACGTGGTTGCATGTTGATTACGAGGACCCGTTCTGGAAACTACAAAGGCCGCCAAGTCTTGCATGTGTGTGCTCATACTCGGCATTATGTGAATTCCTCCTTCTTTCTTATCATCCTTCTCCCTCCCTCCTCCTTCCATCAATTATCCTTCCTCTCCCGCGTCCCTCCTCATCTTTCCTTCTCTGAATCGTCCTCCCTCCCCCCTCCACGTCTTCCTCTCGCAGCGCAGCGAGTGGGCACAGTCCCTTCCCTGCTTGATTGTTCCAGCTGGTGACAGCTAACACTTTTGTCAAGGAGGCTTACAACGAGAAGGAGGAAAGTGGAGGTTACGAAATCTGCTGCATGCAGCTGGTTTCGGCCCCGCCGCCGGGCCCATTCCTCGATACATGGGCGCCTCCCGGCGCCAGGAGGCGCTGGGAAAACCAGCTACGTGAGCTGATTCTCTACCCTACCCTTTGCTAAAAACTGGGGACGATTTTCCATATGTTTGAATATGTTTGAGTATATGTGTTGACTATTCTTTATTTGTCATCCAAAGTCCCCCCTGTAGGAGGACATGCCCGACCTGAGGTTAGGATTTCGGAAGACCAGAAGAGCCAGAACCCTGAGTTTACAGCTTGGCCACAGGAAGTGGCGGGGACCATAGGCTTCGCAGTGCGCATCGGCGATCAGTTGTGACGTTCGCCCGCGCAACTTGGCAAAGCGTAGCGGGTATGAGAGCGAACCGCTCTCATCAGTTCACCTAGTGAAGATTTTAGCGTACGTTGTGCGCGGCCTAAATGCGAGAGCCCGATTCTGGACATGTGTTGTCCTCCATCCATCAATGGAGGAATCGGAGGAAATGATATAGAAGCAGCCTCAGAAATCGTTGGTCAAGCCATGGGAATCGTCACATGAAAGCCTCAGCTTGATAACCGCAATCACGAGAACCATTCCACTCGTATGAAGCAGAGCGAGAGCCCAGAACGAGGTCGCATTAGATTGGCTTGAGGCTGGCGCCAAAGGTAAGCTCAGTCAAAGTGCGCACGGGCCCGCAGTCACCCCGCAGAGTGAACCAAGGCCAACAGAGTTCCCAGCGACCGAGGTGGCATTTGCATCCTCTCAACGACAACAACTGCAATAATTTTAAGACTGTTCGCTTTTGTCTGCTCGCGAACAATTTAGCATGTACATCCCAAACCCTCAATACCCGCCCTCTTCGTCTTCGACCGCACCCCCCTTGGGGGTATGTCTTCCTTACCTGCCACGTGTAGTTGGCGCAGCCCCTAACACGGGGGAGGGGATGGAGGAGGCAAGGGACAAGGGGCACGAGAGAAATTAGCAGAGGGGCGCAAAGAGCAGGAAGACAAGCGGCAGAACCAGACGGGCGGGCCGGGCAGGCGGACCCCAACGAGCGGGTCGGGCGGGCGGGCCCAGACGGCGGGGTCGACCGGGCGGGTCGCTGAAGCGTCAGTCTTGCATGAATCGCGAGGAACTCCTAGGCGATGGCGCGATGCCTTTGTAAATCGTGAGCAAGTCCAGGGCGAGAGCGTGATTCCTGAGTGTCGAGGGCGCGGCGTCTGAATGAATTGTGAGGAAGCACCACGCGAGAGCGCGATTCCAAGGTACTGTAAGAAGTTCCCGACGAAGCGCAATTTTGAATAAATTGTGAGGAGGTATCAGGCGGGAGCCGCTGTTGCTGTAAACCATAGGCCAAAGACACAGTGTGAAGCTCAAGATTTTTTACTTCGGAAAAACCGAGTGCAAGCCCCGGCAGGAGCATGTTATGAGGTGCACCGGCGGGGGGATCTGCAATAATTGTTTTAGAAGCGGAAATATAAACACAACAACAACAAGAATAAGAGCAACAACAATAGCAAGAACAGCAGCAACAACAACCACAACAATAACAACCATCAGTTTCAAGACTGTTCGCTCTTATCTGCTCGCGTGCCATTCAACACGTGTATCCCACACCCTCGTCACCCGCCCTTTTCGTCTTCGATCGTACCCCCCTTGGGGGTGTATCTTCCCGACCTGCCGCGTGTAGTTGGCGCAGGCGCGAAAACAGGGGAAGGCAGGGAGGAGAGAAGAGACAAGGGGGAGGGACAAGGATGGAGCATGCGAGAGATTTGCAAGAGTGGGGATAGGAGCAGGAGCACAAGCGGCAGAAGCACACGGGCGGGTCGGGCGGGCGGACCCTAAGAGGCAGGTCGGGCGGGCGGGCCCAGACGGTCGGGTCGAACGGGCGGGTCGCTGAAGCGTCACTTGGATATGAATGTCAAGGGAAATTCGAGCGATAGCGTGATTTTTAAGTAATTCGTGGCGAAATCCAAAGCGAGAGTCTGATTCCTTAGTGTTTGGGGCGCGGTTTTTGAATACATTTTGAAGAAATACCACGCGAACGCGCGATTCCTGCAGAAACTATGTGGAAGTCCCGCTCGAGAGTGCGAATTTGAAATGAACTGCGATGAAGTATCATTCGGGAGCCGCGGTTGTTGCAAAGCGGGGGTCAACAACACAATTTGAGAGCCAAGACTTCCTCTGAAAAAAAACAAGGTGCGAGCCCCGGGAGGATCATTTGAATTGAGAAAACACCATAGGTATTGAAGTGATAGGATCAACACTAGCTATTATGTAGACATGAGAAGCCAACAATAATAACAACAACAACAACAACAACAACAACAGCAACAACACTCATTTTGATGTTGATCGTTATTGTTGGTTCGCGTGTCGCTCAACATGAATACTCCGAACCCTCGATACCCGCCCTCTTCGTCTTCGATCGTACCCCACCCCTTTGGGGTGTATCATCCGTATCTGCCACGTGCAGTTGGCGCAGGCCCCAAATCAAGGGGAAGAAGGGAGGAGGGAAGAGACAAGGGAGAGGGAGAAGGAGAGGGCAGGAACACAAGCAGCAGAATCAGACGGGTTGGTCGGGCGGGCGGACCCTAACAGGCAGGTCGGGCGGGCGGGCCCAGACGGCCGAGTCGAAGGAGCGGGTCGCTGAAGCATCAATCCAGCATGAATCGCAAGGAAATCTGGAACGATAGCACGATGTCCAAGCAAATCGCCAGGAAATCCAGAACGAGCGCGTGATTCTTGAGTGTCGGGGGGCACGGCGCCGCAGCAAACTGCGAAGAAGTATCACGCGAGAGTTCGACCCCTGCACAGAGTATGAGGAAGTCACGCGCGAGAGCGCGATTTTGAAATAGATGTGTAAGGAAGTGCCTGGCAGGGAGCGGTTGCTGTTGCAACTCGGGAGGCCAGGGGCGCAGCTTGAGCCTCAAGACTTTCCCTCGTAAAGAAGAGCGCGAGCCTCGGCAGGAACATTTTCATCGAAATAATACAGGGTGCATCGAGAAGGGATTAACAGGGCTGGAACTAAACGGTGTTTTGGCGATGTCGTGGGCCGTTTTCGTTTCGATTTCATTTTGCGGCAAAGGCGAATTGAAGACAAAACGAGGAGAAACGAAAACAAAACGAAAACGAAAAGCACCGTTTAGGTTCAGCCATGGGGATCAATCGTAATACTGGTTATAAGTGAGAACTTCCCCACAACAACAACAGCTGCAACAGCAACAACAGCAGCAGCAGCAACCACAACAATAACAATAAGTTTAAAACTGTTCGCTCTTACCTGCGCGCGTGCCATCCAACACGTATATCCCAAACCCTCAGTACCCGCCTTCTTCGTCTTCGGTCGTGGCCCCCTGGGGGTATATCTTCCCTACCTGCCGCGTGTAATTGGTGCAGCCCTTAAAACAAGGGAAGAGACGACGGATGGAAGGGTGAGGGAGAAGGATGGAGCACGGGAATAACAGTAGGGGGGCTTGGAGCAGAAAGCACGTGGCAGAACCAGACGGGCCCATCGAGCGGGTAGACCCTAACAGGCGGGTCGGGAAGGCGGGCCCGAGTGGCCAGGTCGAGCAAGCGTATTGCTGAAGCGTGAGTACTGCATGAATCGCGAGGAGAGCTCGAGCGATAGCGCGATTCCCAAGTAAGTCGCGAGAAAGGCCAAAGCGAGAGCGTGATTCCTGAGTGTCGAGGGCGCGGCTTCTGAATAAATTGCCAGAAACTCCCATGCGAGAGCGCGGTTCCTGCATAATTTGTGAGGAAGTCCTGCGCGAGAGTGCGATTTTGAAATGAACTGTAAGGAAGTATCATGCGGGAGCTGCTGCAGTTTTAAACGGGGGGCAACAACCCAGACTGGTGACACCAAGCTTTCCCTGATGAGTGAACCCGGCGCGACCCCAATTAGGGTAAAGTTTCCTACTGCATGGGCGCAGTGTTTGGCATTGCTTGGCATTGCTTGGCGTTGATTGGGTCATTGCTTGGGTCATTGCTTGTGCCATTGCTTGTGTCATTGCTTGGCATTGATTCGCATTGCTTTGCATTGTTTGGCATTGCTTGAAGAAACTGGGAGACCCGAGGAACCCGAGGAACCTGGGGAACCCGAGAAACCCGAGGAACCCGAGGAACATGGGGAACCCGAGGAACCCGAGAAACCCAGGGAACCCGAGGAGTTTGGGGAACCCGAAGAATCCGAGGAACCCGAGGAGTTTGGGGAACCGGAGGAACCCGAGGAACCCAGGGGGCCCGAGGAACCTTGGGAACCCTGGGAACTTCCGAGCAACGGGCAACATAGGCATCGGAGGCACCGAGGGCGAGGAGCCCGAGGAACCTCCGAGGAACGGGCAAAGTCGCCTCCCGAGGCACCAACCTTTACCCAAGTAACAGCCCCGTAGTCAAGCCCAACTGCGGAAATACAGGATGCGAGCCCTGAGGGGGGCACTGCAACTAAAAAATACAATGGTTACTGGAGGGGGGATCAACAATTAGTCTAGACATGAGAATTCAACAACAACAACAACAACAACAACAACAACAACAACAACAACAACAA